CAAATCAACAAGAGCACTCATTGTACATTGTACACCTTCTTTATCACTTATTTGCATAAGCTCTTTGATTTTCTCCCTTAGCTTAGAAGCCTTATTTAATTTAGCCTTCCTATCATTTTGCAGTCTTTCCAGCTTTTGTTCAAATGCCTTTGCAGTTAATGTTACAACACGTTTTTCCTTTTCTTTTAACACACCCGGACCATCTGCTTTACTGTTACATTCAGCTGATTGCGCAACCGCCTCAGCAGCTGACACGTCTTTTTCAAGTAAACTCATAGTGCACTTAAACGTCACCACGTAATCAATTGTCAATGTAATTTGTTGTCAATACAAAGTTACCGTTCAGTTCTTTCTTTACCAATGCATTGGATTTTTTACGCCCGGGTAATTATAATAGTGTGCACACAACTCATGAATGGCCATTCAATTACTTTGTAGCGCTACAACATACCTTACGTGGGGCGCCTTGTAGATGAAGAATCGTTTCACGATGTCCTCACATTGGTGAATGATGAAAGAAGTTTATCGTTGTCCTCAAACAGTTGCATAGATTGGTTCCGTGCTGGCTGAGCACCGCCGCGTCACATCACCGATGCTGGGCTGAGCGGGTAATCTCCCCGCTGACTCCGTTTCAGCCTGTCCTCTCGCCGGGTTCCGATGTGTAACACAGCCGGGCAGATACACGATGAGTAGCTTTCAGATGTCCCCTTTCCAGCGTCCACTCCGCATGTCTTTAACGGTGGACATCTAACTCCACACGCGACGATCTTCCCGCTTCATAAAAGGTAGTTTTTGACTTTTTGTAACCGCTAAGCTTAAAACAGCCGAGGGTTATGCAGAGGGTTGAAGTGGGCTATAGTTGACGCGCTTACCGTGGTCGATTTGGCTTGATTGAATAATGCAACAAAGCTTAAAGTTCGGTTTTCTTCTCTGTTGTGAGAGATTTATTGGATTTACACAAGGATTTCCTTTTCCATAACGGAACAGTATTCCATCTTCACCAACACTTTCACATAACAAAACATTCAACCACAGCCTCGGTGGCGGTCAAAAACTAGTTTGCCCTTTTCCCTCTGGCACACCTGTCCTTGATTACAGCTAACCTCCTAAGTAGATGAGCCCCAATTCATGTGCCATAACCCTAGTGCCACCTAATGGCCAAACCTGGACATAAACATTGAAATGGCTCCTACAGTCATATTGCCATTATTGAGCCAATATTGCAATTGCGATTTGCGACTCCGATATAATAAAATGGTTTCATGAGTCCAACTTGCTTGGTTCTAAAGTAAAATGCACACACAGATTAATGTTTATTTCTCAACTCAAACTAAAAACAACAACAACAACAATAAATGATTGATAACACCTATAATGATCAATAAACCATCAACCAAACCAACATTACAGTGATTCCATCAATTGAAAGCCATCAACTTTTTAAAAAATTATTAGGCTTAAAAAAAATATATAACAGCTTTTAAATTAAGTGAACTTCAAACAATCCCCACATAAACCCATAATAAAAAAAACATATTTACCTGTGCCATTCCTGTCTTAACAGGTACAGAAATTGAATAAAGTTATCAAACAGTCTGCGCTGCCTGAATCATAAATTATATATATAATAATCCTTATTAAAGCTACAAAAGTTCTTTACTCAAGATCAGTGAGTAATTTTCTAATTTCCCTTTGTTCTTTTAACTTTACTGAAAGAACGCTTTATTCGCTGCTGGCCTTTAAGAGCACCCGTTGCCGAGACGCGGATCTCACACGCGCCTCATAGCACAACTCACAACTCTCACATTTTGGCATAATTGTGTGTGCTATTGTTCGTTCAAGCTCGAAAGAGAACTGTTTATTCTGGGCTGGCACACGGTCAGTGCATGCGCATTATGCGAGTCTCATCTATTTCTAATCTAGGGCACTCACAGGCAGCTTTTCACTTCTTGTCGTGCAAAATGCGAAAAGGCATTTGAACCAATAAGAGGGGATCTGTAACACTAGTCAAAAGGATGACAAAAAAGAAGAGATGCTGCGCTAATAGCCCTACTTTGTTTATTTCATTTAATATCGCGGCATTTTGCGTTATATATTGCATAGGTTTGAGATCGCTATTACGACTGCGATATAATTAATCGTGCAGCACTAATGCTTAGTGTATTCTAAAGGCAATAAACTCCACTCCAGCAAGATAGTCATTTTATGCAAATCATAGACCTTTATCCTTATCTACAAATAAAGTATAATATTGGGAACATTGATCTTGAAGAGAGTGTCGTCGTTTTACTGTCGCAACGAACGCGACGCGCTAATGCTGATGCATGGAGAATGACTGAGGCGAGATGACTTTCCGTTAACTTTAACTTAGAGACTAAAATATTAATTTTACCACACATTAAGCTATTGAATGACTTTAGAAGTCTTGGAATATAGTGTGAAAACTTGATTGTGCTTTACAGTTTTTTATGCCTTTAGTGGGGCTAACAAAATAACACAATATGCA